GCATGCCCTGCACAACTAAGGCGGATAGGGAGACCACCCCCTGCTAACCCCCTACGGTGCGAGAAAGTGCCACGCCTGCTATGCCCTGCACAACTAAGGCGGATAGGGAGACCACCCCCTGCTAACCCCCTACGGTGTCGAGAAAGTGCCACGCCTGCTATGCCCTGCACAACTAAGGTGGACAGGGAGACCACCCCCTTCTAACCCCCTACGGTGTCGAGAAAGTGCCACGCCTGCTATGCCCTGCACAACTAAGGCGGATAGGGAGACCACCCCCTGCGCACCCCCTATGGTGCAGAGAAAGTGCCACGCCTGCTATATCCTGCACAACTAAGGCGGATAGGGAGACCACCCCCTGCTAACCCCCTACGGTGTCGAGAAAGTGCCACGCCTGCTATGCCCTGCACAACTAAGGCGGATAGGGAGACCACTAGGGAGACCACCCCCTGCTAACCCCCTACGGTGTCGAGAAAATGCCACGCTTGCTATGCCCTGCGCAACTAAGGCGGATAGGGAGACCACACCCTGCTAACCCCCTACGGTGTCGAGAAAGTGCCACGCCTGCTATGCCCTGCACAACTAAGGCGGATAGGGGGACCACCCCCTGCTAACCCCCTACGGTGCAGAGAAAGTGCCGCACCTGGTATGTCCTGCACAACTAAGGCGGATAGGGAGACCACCCCCTGCTACCCCCCTACGGTGTCGAGAAAGTGCCACGCCTGGTATGCCCTGCACAACTAAGGCGGACAGGGAGGCCACCCCCTGCTAACCCCCTATGGTGACGAGAAAATGCCACGCCTGCTATGCCCTGCACAACTAAGGCTTAAGGCGGATAGGGAGACCACCCCCTGCGCACCCCCTATGGTGCAGAGAAAATGCCGCGCCTGCTATGCCCTGCACAACTAAGGCGGATAGGGAGACCACCCCCTGCTAACCCCCTACGGTGTCGAGAAAGTGCCACGCCTGGTATGCCCTGCACAACTAAGGTGGATAGGGAGACCACTAGGGAGACCACCCCCTGCTAACCCCCTACGGTGTCGAGAAAGTGCCACGCCTGCTATGCCCTGCACAACTAAGGCGGATAGGGAGACCACACCCTGCTAACCCCCTACGGTGTCGAGAAAGTGCCACGCCTGCTATGCCCTGCACAACTAAGGCGGATAGGGGGACCACCCCTGCTAACCCCCTACGGTGCAGAGAAAGTGCCGCACCTGGTATGTCCTGCACAACTAAGGCGGATAGGGAGACCACCCCCTGCTACCCCCCTACGGTGTCGAGAAAGTGCCACGCCTGGTATGCCCTGCACAACCAAGGCGGACAGGGAGACCACCCCCTGCTAACCCCCTACGGTGTCGAGAAAATGCCACGCCTGCTATGCCCTGCACAACTAAGGCTTAAGGCGGATAGGGAGACCACCCCCTGCGCACCCCCTATGGTGCAGAGAAAATGCCGCGCCTGCTATGCCCTGCGCAACTAAGGCGGATAGGGAGACCACCCCCTGCTAACCCCCTACGGTGTCGAGAAAGTGCCACGCCTGGTATGCCCTGCACAACTAAGGTGGATAGGGAGACCACCCCCTGCGCACCCCCTATGGTGTCGAGAAAGTGCCACGCCTGCCGTGCCCTGCGAGCCTGCAACGCATGGAGACCGCACTCCCTGCGCACCCCCTCTGGTGTCCAGGAAGTGCCGCGCCTGCCACGCCCTGCGAGCCTGCAACGCATAGAGACCGCACTCCCTGCGCACTCCCTGTAGTGACGAGAAAATGCAACGCCTGCCGTGCCCTGCGAGCCTGCACCGCATGGAAACCGCACTCCCTGCGCACCTCCTGTGGTGTCGGAAAATTTGTGGTGTGGTGTGGTGTGGTGTGGTGTGGTATGGTATGGCGCGGGGTGGTGTGATGTGATGATGTAATGCGGAAGAGAGGGAGGTGTGAACGCGGGTGTGACGCGGGTGTAGAGAAGGGGAGGTGGGTGAGAAACACGGGTGTGACGCGGTTGTAGAGAAAATCAGAACCCCACTTAGAATGTGGGGAATCAAATCACATCCCTGCGTCGCCAATGGTAGGGCTTCGACGAACAGGATGGAGGGAAAAGCATGTATAAATACAACAATGCTTTGAAAGAGCATGCACGGTGTTTCTCTCTTATGCAGGGTCGCCCAGGGGATGGCTTCCCCATGATGAATAACCCCCCAACAATTGGAAAACGATTCGGCCGCCTACCCGGTGCCTAATTGCCATGCCGGAGCTTTGGGGGGGCAGCATTCAAGACCCTCTGCGGTTAACGGGCCACAGGCGCAAACATCAGAGAAAAACGCGCGAAATGAGCAACAATCACGTCGCCGTAGATTTGGCTGGGTAAAGAAGGGACGAAAACAGACTGAGCGCGGAAGCGTAGGTGTCGATCTTGGTCACCGTTCATCTTGTTGATCAGGACCACGTCGTGGATCGTTCTCACGAGTTGGTCATGGCTGGCATGGATCATAACCAAGATCGGCGCCGACAATATCCCGAGATATCTTTAGAAGCTGAACACAAGGCGAAAACATAAACGTTCGACTGTCTGCGCGGATATTCTTGGTTCTGCGCTGGGACCTTCCCTGGCGCGCGGAGCGCCGCCGCCAGGAGGGTCGAGCGCAGATCCGAGAAATCAGCGCGGAGCTCAGAAAATTTGTGTTCATGCTGTTTTACCTTCTTCGAAGTGACAAAGAAAGGTCGGCGCCGTCCTCACGAATCGGCATTCGCCATGGCCATGTCGAATCATCCTCAAGAATCGGTGCCGACGAGATCCCGCCGCCAAAATGCCGCTACTCCCTGGACCTCTCCCAGGGAGCATCCTGAGAACTTCGAAGCCAGCCGTGGCGATGAGAGCCCCCGAGGAGGCCCCACGAGGGGCGAGCGAGGGAAGGGTATAGCCGTATCGGCACTTTCCCCCAGACACGCGATGCCATGATTTTTCGCATTCGCGGTCCCTGGAAATGCCGACCCCTTCCCTGGGACCGGCTCTTCATCCCGAGTCGTTTTTGTTACCATCCCGGGGCCCAGTTAGGGCCCCCAGAGGCCGAACACAACGGAACACGGCCGCCCTGTTTTTTTGTCGGTTGACGACGCGCTCATGCCTGAGGAAATGAGGAGGTACCGATACCGCTACTCCACGCGCGTACTGACCAAGATTTCGAGGCGAATCCAGCGGTGGCGACGAGGGCCGCCCGAGGTCTCGTGATCATCGTGCTTCTCCCATCGATCGGGGATCCGATCTTCTGACCAGGGTCAATCCAGACCCGGGTCAGTCAGGCCTTGCAGAATCCTGCAAGATCCTGCACCCAAACCCGGGTCACTGCAAAGGATCCTGCCAGACCCTGCAGCACCCGAGCCCGGGTCAATGCGACCTGGCCCTGCAGGATCCTGCAAGATCGGGCGCTCTGGCTGACCCCCGTTTGCATTGACCCCCGTCTCTTGATAGAGGCCTCCTACATGGGGTCGGAGTAGGTGGGGTCGGAGGATCGCGCCACATCGCCGATACATCAGCGATGCATCGGCGATGCATCGGCCATGTATCGGCGGTGCACTGGCGATGCATCGTCGAAGTGGGCGATGCATAGGCGACGACGACGACGTGAAGCAAAACGGGCCCCGCATCGGGCCGCATTGGCGATGCATCGGCGATGCGGCGCGATCCTCTGACCCCATCTGCTCCGACCCCATCTAGGAGGCCTAGACTTGAGCCCCGTATCGAGTGCAGCTGACGCCCCCCGGGCCTCCTCCTCCTCCGCCTCCTCCTCCTCCTCCTCCTCCTCCTCCTCCTCCTCCTCCTCCTCCTCCCCCTCCCCCTCCCCCTCCCTCTCCACCTCCCCCCCTCCCTCCCCCTCGCCCTTCCCTCTTTTGTTTCCCTCGTTCTTCCCCCTCCCCCCCCCCCTCCCCCTCCCCCTCTTCCTCGATCCCTGTTTGCATTGACCCCCGTCTCTTGAGCCCCGCATCGAGGGCACCCGGGCCACCCTCCAGCGCGACGCGGCGGGCGGTCTCCAGATGCGGGGGCGGCGAGATCGCCTGCGCGCGCGGCAGCGCACCCTGAGATCCGCCGCCGCCAAGGAGGAAGAACTGCGTCCCCGAGGAGCGCATACCAGGACATACTGGTGCTAGCTAGCCAGTCTCGAACTTGTCCCCATCCCTAGAGATGGGCGAGCAGAACGCGAGGACAGTCTCAGGGATGTGCCCGCAGAAACCGAGGAAAGCCTTGAGATCGGAATCGAGGCGAGGTGGTGCCAAAAGACACGGACAGGGATGTGCTTCAAGCTGGCAGGCTAGGGCAAGTGTCTTCGCGCTTCGCGCCTCGCTCTGAGATCGCCAGGGCCGCGAAGCGCGACTGACTTCCCACCCTCGTGAGGGCCCTGGAATTAGGTCGGTCGTGTCCTCCCTCCTACAGGGGGATTTGGGAGGAAACATAAACAATCTAAACATATTCAAACATAGTCAAAAAATGCAAGAAAAATCGTCCCTAACTATTTTTAAACTATTTTAGAAGATTCCTCCTGTAGAGGGACGGGCCCGACTTCACCCTGGAAGCCGCGTCCCCATGGGATGCACAGTGACGTGCTGGCACTGTGTCCTCATCGGAGGCGTGCGTCTGACACGGACATATATACACATATACAGTAGGGGCCCAACAAGAAGAAACCTTCCACGAGAAACCCAGACGTGAGACCCCAGGACGTCCATTGACTTTTGGTGTGGGAGCGCTACGCTCTCCATCGCAAAACCTTCGAGACCCAAGAAACCCAGGGCACCCTGGAGGCAAGCAGGGTGTTTCTTGGCATGGTGCTTCTTGGCAGTAGTACAACCATCCTGAAGTATATAGCTTCCTGAGTGGTACGGCCAGAGAGCGCCCGCAACGGAGCGTATACTATAAGATTCCTCGGGGCGCGCTTCGCCCCTGGGGAGCGACGCACACATAGTACATAATATTGGTATGTTAGGGTGACGCCGAAGACAAGCTCGAGTTGGCACAAAATCAGACGGGAAACTTGTTGCCCCATTTTCGGCCTCTGGGGGCCCTCACCGGGCCCTGGGACTTCTGGGGACCAAATGTCGACTCCATCCTTCCGCCTCATTTTCCGAGCCAGATCGGTCGGTGAGGGCCCCGAGCCCCGACATGAGGCGGGAACGCAAGGAGAGCGAGAGCGAAATCCGCCACGCCAAGATCTCGGGGTGCGCCTGCGCCGCGGCGGCGGGCGCGCCAACCGCGCAGGGCGGCGTCCTGTTTGAGCAGAGGCCGACCGTCCTGGAATTCTGATGGGCACACGACGACACGCTTTCAGCACAAAATCATGTCCCAAGAACAGCAACACGGTCACTAGGACGTGAAACCGAGTGGCTGAAACAAGGCGGCCTCAGCCAGAACAGTTCGAAGTTCAAAAACCCAACCTCCCGACGCCATGAATTGTTCATGACGCCGACCCCGAGAATTCTCGACCCATTTCCCGGGACCAAGTTTTCATCCTGAATCGTTTGTTGACGGCCCCGAGGCCCAAGAAGGGCCCCCGGAGGCCGAATATAACGAAAAACCTTCCGCCATGACTCTGTCCGGACCCGAGGGGGTCTGGAAGCTCTCAGCACATTCTTCGGTGGGCCTGTAGGCAGGTCAGGACGCTTCGCCACTGCTCTCTGGAGGTCGGGAAAGGGGTATGGCATAGAGGGGTGTGGTGCCAATCGTGGAAATCGAGATGCTGTCTACGCCAAATGGCATCGCCAGACTCACCATTGGCACCATACCCCTTTATGCCACACCCCTCTCCTACCTCCAGATGCTTGACCTGTGCCGCCAGCCGCCGGAGGCCCCCGAAGGGCGCGCGCCCGCCTCCACGGCCCCGCCGGGCTCCGCGTCCGCCGGGACCCGCCATACAGGCGCCGCCCAGGCGCCGGCACGTACCGCGGGCTGCCCCGGCGGCGCCGCGCGGGCGCCGTGGGCGGCTGTGGGCGCTGCGCGCGCCCGTGACTCGGCGGCCTGCCTGGCCCGTGCGCGGCCGGCGGGGCCGCCTCGCTCGGGCAGCCCCAGGGCCTCCGCCGCGGCGGGCGTGCCCGCCGCGCAGGGCGGCGCCCAGCTGGCCCCCGGCACTGCGCGCGCCCAAGCATCGGCGGCCTGGCCAGCCTCGAGCGCCGCGCGGGCGGCGTCAGCGCGATCGGCACGGCCGTCAGCGGACGGCCTCGGGGACCACGGCGGCGAGACCATCGCGGCTCAGCGACACATTTGGCAACCGCCGAGCTGAGCGCGCGCGCGCCACGCTGGCGCGCGTTTGGCAAGGCAGCAGCCACGGGGAGCCGGCGGCGGCCGCAGCGAGGACAAGAGGCTGGGGGACCCTCGGGCACGGGCGTAACGGCGTAACGACGAAACAAAAGCGCGGTTGCTGTTTTTGTTGTACGTTTGCCTTGGCTTCGGACGCACGGAACGGGTACAGAAAAAAGGTACGTAGCACCCCGCAGTTGCGGAGAAGAGTCGGGGAGTGGCGGGGTCGTCGGCAGTTTGCGAAGCCCGCCGCAGGCGCTCAATTCTTTAACAGATTGCACAACGAGCCCGCCGCAGGTGCCAACTCGTCAAAGTAATCGCTGGTGGGTCGCGAAGTGGGTCGCGGGGCGGATCGCGGGTCGCTCCTGGGGCGGGTCGCGGGTGGGACGGCGACAGCTCACAAGCAGAACCCGCGCTGCGGAACTCCCCTTACTTTCGCCGCGCACCCAGGGACAGAGAATGACCGTTCGGGCCCCTCACTCTGACTATGCCCAGTAGCAAGTGGTGTCCAACACCAACACCAACAGCGGCCGCTGTTGGGCACACGGCATTCAGTCTCAAGAGGGAACGCCCGCGGTGGCCAGCGATTCCGGTCCAAAATTGGCAAGCACTGCTGTCGGTCTTCCTACCCCTGCTCTCCGTATCCGCTCGGTCGTACCAAGTTGCGGCATGGGGGAGCCGTTTCCCGGCCCTGGGACAGTCAGAACCGACTCCGAGTGGACAGCGGGCCCTGGGGAAGGATACCCGAGAATCCAGGCCACGAACAAATGGCGACGTCGGACGAGAGGGAGGGTCCACACCTCCGGCAGATTTGATTTGATGCATTGCCCTCTGAGGGGGGCCGTTTCAGTCAAATAAAGATCCTCGATGAAATAATACTCGGGGAAGCTCTGCGGCCAACGGATACATACAAAAAACCGAAGTCGGATGCCTTGAACTTTCACGCCCCCCGTCCTCCTGCTCCCCCTCTCACATCCTTCTCCCTCCTCCCTCCTCCCTGCCAATCATTTTCAGGCCGACTGCGGCGGCAAAATCTGTTACTCTTCTCCTTTCTTTCCCAAGTGTGGTCAGGCAGCATCCTGGCCCGTGGGAGGGAGACCAGGGAAGGAGAAGGAGTTAGCTTCGAACCTAGGCCAGAAGAGCACCCCTCAAGAACAAGAGACCCTCCGTAGCCAAAACACACAGAACATCCAAGGGTACCCTCCCCAGGATGCACAAAATCATGCAACAAACACGAAGAACACTAGGGTAGCCTCCCCGAACCGATCTCGATCTTATACCTCGGTCCGGCTGTATAAGGAGACAAGAGCGACAGGAGGACGCAATAATGAGGAGAAGGCAAAGCGAGGAGGAGGAAGAGGAGAAGGAGGACCGATCCGTCCAGACTGTGTGCACCCCATGCGTCGCGAAAAGAAACGTCACGTAGATCAAATATATTGCCTTGCATAACGCACCTGTTCACCACATAGCTTGCACCAAGTAGTTCGCATCACACTGATGACACCACGTACTTATCTTGCAACCTGTACACACATCTATCAATTTGTATTTACCCATATATTTACATATATACATATGCATAGCCACGTATATATATATATATATGTGTATATATGCATATATGTGTAAACGCGTACACATGCATATGTATAATGTGTATACATGTATATATACAAAGCACACACAACGCATGATACAATTTGGAACACAGACATTGCACATCGAAGGTGCAATAACGCCATGTGGGGGGCCACGATGGCTAACCAACACCTGCTAATTCATGCCCCCTCAGCAGACAGATCGCCCGGGCACTGCTTCTGGATGGGCTGGCTGGAGTAAGCGAAACGCTAAGGATGAGCGTCGGATGATGAGAGTCCGCCCAGGCGGGCGGGGATCGATGATAAGGATGCTTGAATACCCTTGATCCTAAAAGGGCGCCCTGTGTACGCATGCTCTGCTGTAACAAACAAGATAAGCACAGATACCACACACGCACGCCTGCTAAAACCCTGTATCTCTGACACCCCTCCGTGACCATCGAGGCTTGTCCTCGTCGGGCACAATCTTGGAAGGCGGGGGAATCGGAGACAAAAAAGTGGCGGACCTTTGCCCGGACCCCAAAAACAGTGCGGGGGCTAAGCTTCATTAGTCAGATAGAAAACAAATGATGTAATGAAATCCACTGCCTTCAAGAGGGAAAATCTCCAAAAATCGGCAGAGCGGTGCCTAAACAGGCGTGCAAATATGGAACTATAAAACCACAGGGCATAAACGATATGGATGCAAACCAAACGGTGCGAGGAGGAGAAGGGGGGAAACGAAAACCGGAGGACGACCCCTCCGCATTGCCAGGCCGGGCCTTGCGGGCTCGGCGCGCCTCGCCTGCCGCTGCCTTAGCAGCGAGCATCTCCTTCGTCTGCGCTAAACACCAGCGGCCCTCAGACAGCCGCTCTAGCAAGAAACTCCTCTCAGCCTCGGACTTTGTCAAAGAGTCCGCGATCATCAGCTTCGTGTCGATCCGCCTGACACGTATCCTCCAGTCATCTCCCTCTCGCTCCTGCTTCAGCATGTCATGGCCGAGTAGCTGTCGGATCTGGGTCATCAGGATCCGTACTCGCTTGTCAGCGGGCTGACCACCATCCTTCTCCAGGGAGGTGACAAGGCCATTCGCGTCCGTCAGCAGTAGCAGATGCTTGCCATCGAAAAGCGGGTCGAACTGGTAGGATGAGTAGCCGGGGTCGGATATCTCGGCAATCACGTGTTTGAGGTACTCCGCACTCTCAGCTGTCGTCAAGAAACCGTTGCATTCAGCCGCTAGCGATCCACGAACCACTCGCTTGATCGTCGCGCTAGCCCACTCCAGTGGATGCACGATCGCGGTGGCGTCCGTCTCGAGGTCGGGCGACGCCATGCCGATGATATAGCCGCACTGGGATTTGACCTTCTCCCCTAGCGTAAGGTCGTCAATGTTGCCATGGCTGCTGCCCCCGCAGCCGAACACAATGGCACTGTCCCAGTCCAGGCGGGATGAAAACATCAGCTTGAAATCAACGTCGTCCTTAGCCATCTTGATGGCACGATTCACTGCAACAATGTCACGAATCTTGGGGCCACTCATGGCCTGAGCCCCAAGTGAAGCGTGGACGGCCAGGTCAGGGCGCGTCTGCCGTGCTACCCAGCCAAGCGACCCAACACCGCTACGGAGGGCAGAGATCTCCTCCGGGGTGAGTGGCGCATTGGGCTTGCGCCGGCGGTGCGGCTCGAGGGTGATGTACTCCAGCGCCTCGACCGTGGCGGCCTGTCCGATCTTGATGTCGAAAGTCTGGTTGTCCTGCTCCACGACCTTGCCACAGTGCCTGAACGTATCGGACTGGAAGGAAAGGCGAATCTTGTCCTTGATGATCTCCATCACGCGCTCGAACTGCTCGCCCGCGCCCGTGACGAAGAGGTCGTCGACGTGCGTGCACAGCAAGCCGTTGAGCTTGCCCTTGCTGTCCCTGAGCATGAACAGACAGGGCTCGTAGATGGACTCGCGCTAACCCTGCTCCACGAGGATGGCGCGCAGATGCAGCCACCACTGCCTGCCCGCGTCCTTGGTGCCGTAGATTGCGCCGCGGGCGCGCATGTAGGACCCCTCCGGAACTCCCGGTGGTGGAGGACGAGGGGCTCGAAGAAGCAGGATGCGCTCAATGCCCTTGGACTGCAGGTAGGCCGTCGCAGCGTCAGCTGCCCTTATCTGCCACCGGTGGGAGGCAGCGTAGCTGGCGACCAGGTGAAAAGCCAAAAGGCTAGCAGTAGGAGCGTCGCCTCGGATATCATCTCCTCGTTCCTGGCAGCCCTGCACGACGAGCCGACTCTTGGCAGCGAGCGGGATGTCGTCATAGGTCTGCTTGAGGTTGCGCTTCTTAGCGTTCTTGTCCGCGTGGACCCAGCGCGTCCCAACTGGGGAAGCACCCCTGTCGAGGAGCTCCTTGGCCTGGCTAAAGCTCAGCACCTCGACGGCCTGGAACTCAGTCCAGCTGCGCCACTCCTTGGCCATAGCCTGATCGAACTCCTTCCTCTGCTCTGGGGCGAGGTCTTGAAGTCTGATCTCGGAGCGACCGCGCCCGTGGTGAGATAGGCGAACTCGACTGTGTCGTTCGTGCCCACGTCCACGTCGGTGTGAACGAAGATGGTCTCGACCGCGGTGGTGCCACCAGGCAGAAGCCGACGAAGGCGAGCATCGCGAAGAGCAAGACCTCTGACGTCGATGTCATCGATCACGATGCCTGTCTTGATGTCTCTGGTGATGCGGCGAAGCACCTTGGACCAGCGAGGGCCACGCTTGTCTGCAGCGATGAACTTCTGGATGCCGTAGTCGGTGCGACGCCACTCGTAGGCGACAGCCAGGTCCGGCTTGTAGTCGCTGGTGAGGAACACTTCGTGGAGGGCATCCTCCATGACGCTGAACTCCTCCTCCACGTAGCCCTGGAAGGTGCGAGGCTTCTTGATGGAACCCCGATCCAGACGCTCCGGATCGCGCATGGCTCTGTCCAGCTGGGTAAGTGACAGGCCTCCGCGCTTCTCCCCGCGCTCCAGGCCCACGCACATCTCGTCGTCCGGCACCGGCTTGTCGACAGCCTCGTCATCCGGGGGCACCGGCTTGTCGATAGCCTCCTGGGATACTCGAGGATCGATCCGATGACCTTGAACTTCGGAATGAACGCTGGGCTCGCCTGGGCCGTACGAGCGTGGCGGCCCCTCTGCCTCTGGTAGCCCCGGGCGTGCTGGCTCAGGGACCACAGGAGGTGGCTGATGCTGAGCTGGCGGTGGTAGTAGTGCGTCGTCGGTCTCCTGAATGATTGGAGATGCTTGTTGTGGTACTTCGTGTGCCGGCGGCGGAGGATCGACCCGCAACTGTGGTAGATGGTCCTCGGTGTTGAACTCGTCGAAATCGAAATTTACGTCAGGTCCTGGTCCGGCAGATCCGAGCGCGCCCCCAACCACCCCTCCGTGACCAGCCGCGTGCCGTTGCGGCCTGGGCATCGGGGCGGGCGAGGCTGCTGCTGTATCGGCCCGGATGTCGATGTAGTGCCTGGCCCCCTTCAGTGACCGAAGGGACAACAGGTCTGGGTTCACGTAGGTGTGCATGGCGAGCAGCTCGTCCTCGGAGGCGAACCTGAGCGACTCAGGAGCTGCGAGCACGGTAGTGTGTCCGTAGCGCAGCCACACTGCATGGGCCAGTGTGCCGACGGGCTCGTCCGCGTCGCGAGAGAGGTGACGTGGGTCACGCACCTCATGCCCGATAACTCGGGCTGGCCCAAACCAGCGGTGCGTGACCTCGGGGCTCTCGCCGACTCGGGTCTGCGACCGGCGGAAGTACACGATGGCCCCAATGTTGAAAGGGCCTCGGCTAGGCCGCGCCTTGCGCAGGATGGCGCGCTTGACGCGGTCGTCGGAGTCGAGGCGGACGCGCGCAATGCGGGCCGCCTCGCGCAGGGCCATGGCGCGGGCCATGGCAGACTGGGGGTCGAGCGACGCCTCGATGACCTCCAACCGCTGCGCCTCGTCGTCTTGTTGGAGGCTTCCTGGGGCACGGGGCCCATGAGACCCCAAGACCCACTGCGAAGGGGAGAACCCCCCGCGTCGGCCCAGCTCGCTCTTGACCCGGGTCACGATGGAGGCAGTCTCCTCGACGTCGTCCAGTCCTGTAACCTGCGAGTCGGCGACAGTACGTCGCCAGATCTCCTTCCAAATGCCCCCGTGGCGCTCGCACTTGCCGATGAGGTGCGGCGTCTCCAACGGGGCCAGGTCGACCTGCACGCCATGCGCCTTCGCGTTGGAGGCGAAATCCTTCATCCACTCCTTGCCCAGGTCCACCGTGAGCTTCTCTAGGTAGCCAGCCCACGGGGTCCAGCTGGTAGTGAGCGCCTTAGTAGTGGCACGTGCTGTCGGTGATCCACGAGCCGGGCCCATGCAGTACACGACATGAAAGTTCGCCCCCTCGCAGATACAGTTCATAAAGAAGTAGGGCGCCCCGGCGGCGTCGCACGCGTGGAAGGTGTCCAGCTGGATGGCGTAGTTGAACACGTACTGACCTGGCAACCGCGAAGGTCGCGGGGCGCGCCGACGGACGGCGTCGCCACAGGCGTCGCAGGAAAAGAACTCCACGTATTTCAGCACCTCCGGCTTGACTCCTCGGCGCCTTAGCAGCCTGGTCAGCGTCGCGTTCGAACAGTGGTGGAAGTTAACGTGGAGCTGGCGGATGGCCTTCCTGACCTCTGGCGGGGCCTCCAGCCATCGCCTGCGTCGCTCGGCCTCCTTGGTGTTGGTGATGGGGCCGAGTTGAGCGGCCTCTCGGGCTCGCTCGCCGTCGGGATCGACGGCTGGCGGAGGTGGTGGCTCCCCCACAGCTTCTTGATCAGCTGGAGGAGGAGCAGGCTCAGGCACGTTCGGGTCAGGCGGTGGCGCTGGCTGCGCCATGGCTGCACGGTACGGGTGCCCCCGCAGTCTGGTCCGTCGTCGTAGTCGAACCGGCCCACGAAGGTCTGGACCGTCCTCTGCAGGGAACTGCCAGTCGGTGTCCGTGGCGTTGTCGACGATGGCCTGCTGTGCGACGCTGCGGGCGACGATGTGGTCGAGCTCCTCCGGCCACTCGGCCGCTTGCAGGGTGCGCGGCCCGAACTTGTTGCGGCCCTTTAGCTGCTCGCGCTGTGTGCAACTACACCTCTTGTCGGAAAGGGCCTCGACCAGCGTGTCCATAGTGGCAATGATCATCATGGGCTCGCGGTGAGCCAAGCCTGACTCAGCATCGCGGTACCCAACCTGGCAGCCGTCGAAGGTAACCTTCCTCAGGATGCCCTTGTCCAGGAGAGAACGAATCCTTGACATCTCCGGCTGGTCGAAGGCCTCGGAGCCCTGGGGGCGCTCCAGCGCCACGTGGAAGCCCCTCCGCACTCGGCTGTCCACTGAGGAGTCCACCTGCCTGAGAATGGGGCGGTTCGCCTCGCGCTTGGCCAAGATCTTCCTCTCGGTCTCCGGGCAACGGGCCATGTTGAATCTGCTCCAGTTGCCCCACGGCGAGCAGGGGTGCGAGACCACGAGGCAGTACGGCTCCTCGTTGGTGATCTCCGCGTCGTACCTCTGCCTGCCCAGCCTGGTGGTAGCGCCCCAGCCCGTGTGCTTGTCCAGTGGGACGCCGACCGAGAGGCCCATCGTGGCCATGAGCACTGTCAATCCCATCTGGCCAGCGTAGGTCTGCTTGGCCCATGTCCTGGCACCTGCGGGCAGCCGGGCCCTGGGCGGATGCTTCTCCACGACGGCCTGCACCACCTCATCCTGCACGGCAATGGCCTGCAGGGAATGCTCGAGCTTCTTGGACTTCTTGTTGGTGAGGTTGCGCTTGCCGCCCCACTCGATCGCCTCGGCGGCGAAGACGTCCGGTCCGTAGTCGTGGTCGACGACCGTCTGGAGGCACTCGTCGTCCGTAGTCTCGCCGATCTCGATGTCCAGGAAGCTGGGGAGAGGCTCACCTGAGCTCTCCTCGACGTAGGTGATGCCGACGTGGAACTTCTCGGGGTAGTACTCCAGGTGGTGATCCTCGGGCATCGTCGGCGCCGCCCACTCGGCCGTCTCGTAGCTCTCGTTCGGCAGGTCAAGGAGGTTGACCGCCGGGTGGCCCACCTTAGTGTGGTGGAGTTTCAGGTTGTAGACGCCAATGTTGACAAAGTCGGCGACATCGCCCTCCGTGGAAAGCCGCGTGCTCAGCCCAAGCTTGGTGAGCATGTCTCTGCTGAACAGCATCGGGCAGTCGCCCGGCACCTCACGCGACAGAATATCGCCACACTTTCCTCCAATGCCCACGGGAAAACGGACCGCCGTGGTGCTCCTCGCGCGGCCGCCGATCCCTCTGAATGTACGAGAGGTCGGGGTCTTCACTACCTGTAGACCGCGCCTCGCGAGCTTACGCTCGAAGGCTGCCCGCCACGACTCACCGTGCATGGTACGCGTGCACCCAGTGTCGATGATGGCGAGCACGGCGTCGGCGTCGCTGTCGTGCGCCGAGAAGGCATTGCCGGTAGTAGCGGCCATGACCGAGCACTCGTAGGTAGAGATGTCGTCCGGCTGATGGATGTTGGGCTGAATCGGGATGGTGAAGCCGCCGGCGTTGACCTCCATCCAATCGTTGTCGGCGGGGAGCCTCCTCTTGTCGCCGTCGATCATCTGCTGCGGGGCAGCGTTGAACTTGCCGCGCGCGATCTTCACAATGGCGTAGAGGAAATACGCGTAGCGGTACAAGTGGAGGTTGATCTCCTCCGCCTCGGGGCCCAAGACCTGGTCCAGAGCCCACCTGTTGTACCAGATGAGTGCCGGGTCGGACGCCGCATCCTGGAAGGTTCGCCCCTTGTGCGTGCCGAAGTCGATGACCTCCGCTGGGTACGGGACCGGGTTGAGCTGGTCGACGCCGTCGAGATCCGGGAACTCCACCAGCTCGATGCTCTGGTGGAGCGGGATGCCGTGCAGGAAGGCCAGCTCCGGTCCCGGCTTCGGCTCGGGGTCGCCTTGGGTCAAGTCGACCTTGATGATGCGCTTCTCGGGTGTAGGGGGTGCGGCCGGCGCTGATCCAGTAGCACTCGGCCTCGCAGAACTGGCCGCAGATGCGGCCGCCGGTGTAGGTGCACGCGGTCCGTCGCCTCTTGCAGGCAGCCGGCCGAATAGCCGCTGCTTGCCGGAAGGGCGTCGCGCCGCGGGCGCCCCCGTCCGCCTCCGACACGTAGATGGGAGGCGACCCTGGACCATCAGGGCGTCGGCCACCAGGGCAATCCGCCTCGCGAACTCCTTGCGGGACAGGAAGCGGCCCCACTTCGTGCCCATCAGGGCCTTCATGATGTAGCTCCACAGCTCGAACCCTTTGTTGCGGTGGGCGAGCGTGAAGTGGCGGTCGCACTCCATGCATGTGATGTACCTGGTGGTCTTGTTGGCGCCGCGGACGACCTTCTCGCAGGCGTCGTCGGCCACGTGCTCGCAGACGTGCCCCATCTCGCCCTTCAGAACCATGAAGACCTCGGACGGCTCGCTGTCGTCGTCGTTGTCCCCGTGCTCCTCGAGCGTGAAGTAGTTCTGAGCGGGCTTCTTCGCTGGAGACACTGATGTAGGCTTCCGGCTCGACCGACGGGGGCAAACGTCATCGCCCTGCCAATGCCCGAACTGGTGGCAGTCTGAGCACTGGGTCCGCTTCTTCAGGTTGGCGATGTGCTGTCGGCGAGCATCTCGCTGTCGGTCGTCGTAGCCAGGGACAGCACTACTCGAACTGCTGCTGCCTCCTCGCCCTACGGGCGACCTGGTTGTCAATCCCTTGCCGCCTCCCCGGCGGCCTCCCCTTCCACCGGCCTTGCCACGACCGCGGAAGCTCGAAGTCACTCGCCTAGGCGGCTTCTTCTTGTTGAAGATCTTGTTGCGGCTCTGCAGAACGAGGGCGAGGGCCTCTGCCTCCTCGGTGCCAAGCTCGTCGAGGTTCTCCGCGACGTAGTTCTCGATGTCGAAATCGTCGTCCTCGCCGTGATCGTAGTCGTCCTCCTCGCCCTGGTAGTAGCCGTCCTCGTCCTCGTCCTCGTAATAGATGTGATCGAGCTCTGACTGGTTCTCGTCCTGCTCCGACGCGGCGCAAGCGTAGGCGGATCGCTCTCGGCGATCAGCGCGTCGGTCCTGCTGTCGATGTACCGCTGGGTACTGAGCCCGCAGTGCATACTCGATGCCGGCTAGCTTGTACTCATTCTTGTTGGAGGCGAGGACTGCGGCTTGCTCCTTCATGCTGATGCCGCAGAATCTGAGGATCAGTGCGGCCTGGATATCCTCAGAGATCGTAGTCGTGGCGCTGACCTCCTGCAACTCTGCGAACTCCTTTCGCCTCCTTGTCACGTAGTTGGCCATGGACTCGTTGCGGTCGCGCCAGACCGATGATCCGTACAAAGCCTTGTCGAAGATCTCGGTGCTCCGGACGGGCGCAATATCTTGAACTTCTTTCTTCAGCGTCGTGAGGAAAAGAGTGAGCCCGTCCTGCCTTGATTCTCCAGACTCATCAGTAGCTATCAGCTCTTCATGTTTGAGTTTGCGCACTGCCTCGTAGGCTGGACCAGAAAGGCCTGATCGTAGATGCAGCGCCGTCGCGGCCTGCTTAGACTTCTCGCCAGTCCTGCCATGATAGAGATCCCAGGCTCGCTCTTCGCATTCATTGAAATACTCTGGCTGGCCTGCATACTGAGGGACTCCATTCCTGTCCAGCTCGATGGGCATCTTCTTCGTGAGGATGGGAATGATCAGCAGCAGCAGCGCTGTTGCAAAGGATGGTGCCCTCGGCCGGCTCGGCGGAGGGCTCGTCGTCGTGGGCTGACACGACTGCCGCGGTGGTGACCGCGGCGGCGGAGAAGAGGTTCGGCGACCTCTGGCGGCGGCTGCGGCCGTCGCCTGCCGCGGGGCGCCCGGGCGCAGCGGCCCAGCCCAGCGGCCTATGATGCGCAGGTCCCGGAGCGATCAGGCTCCGCTTACCACGAGTCCGCCCAGGCGGGCGGGGATCGATGATAAGGATGCTTTAATACCCTTGATCCTAAAAGGGCGCCCTGTGTACGCATGCTCTGCTGTAACAAACAAGATAAGCACAGATACCACACACGCACGCCTGCTAAAACCCTGTATCTCTGACAGATGACGACGAAGGGCAAACAACATGAAAAGTATCTTAGTGTCTGGCCGCTGGTATCGAAATCTGGAGTGGATGCTCAAATAGTCCCAATGACGACGACGCCCATGAACAAGCTTGTAATCCAACGTATACACTTCTCAGCCTCGTTGAATCCGTGCCTGGCCCCAGGATCGGAGTGAAAAGCTGGCCCCCATGAGAGACCAGAACCCAAATATTATCCGATGCCGTGACTTGTTCGAACTCTGTGCTTGAATGTACGGGGTCTTACTTGTGTTCTGATGAGCTGGGGGGTAGGGGGGTCGGTCTGGCGGCTATGTTGTCGCAGTCGCCGCCTCGTCGCCGCCCCTCGTCAAGGGGAGAATGTCGGATTGGCATTTATGTTGTCGCCGTCGCCGAATCGTCGCCGCCTCGTCGCCGCCCGTCGTGTGGGCCTGATTGTCGGATTGGCGGCTATGTTGTCGCCGTCGCCGCCCCGAAACCGTCTAAGTTGCACAATGTAGGCTGCACCGCATATATTATCCTTCCTGAAAGAAAATTAGGATCTACCCCCACCCCCCCCAAAAGATTAACGCTCCCCCTTTTCGCATTGCAATGTACATTGGATTGTGCTCCATCGTCCATCCGAAATATGAGCGAATACCATCCCAACCCAAACGGTATCGACAAAAGCCGTCCGCTGCAAAAAACGTTACTCGTGCGCATTCCCTTATCAATAGTCATGAATGTTCAAGAATCGCCTGGAAACACATATCCCGGCAAAGCAACCTAACAGCGATGTGTATAAGCATATCTGGCAGCATTCCCCTTAATATTCAGGTGAGAATCCGGTTGTAGAATTCTGCGGTTCTCGCAGTCGCAGTCGCATTCGCAATGACAGTCACAGTGGCAACGGCCTTAGGATCCAATGGAAACCTAAGGATTCCGAAGGATTCATAAGGCATCCTTAGGCATCCTTAGGAATCCATAGGAATCCTTAGGACACCTTAGGAATCCTGATTCCTACAGATTCCTGGGGATTCCTAAGGATTCCTAGGGAATCCTGAGGATGCCTAACGATTCCCGAGGATGCTTAACTATGCCTACGGATTCCTAAGGATGCCTACGGATTCCTAAGGATCCCTTGGAATTCCTAAGGATTTCTATGGATTCCTACGGATGCCTCAGCCTGCCTCACTTTCAGCCTCAGCCTCAGCCTGCCTCGGCTTGCCTCAGCCTCAGCCTCAGCCTGCTTCGGCCTCAGCCTCAGCCTCAGCCTGCCTCAGCCTCAGCCTGCCCTGGCCTCAGCCTGCGTGAGCCTCAGCATCAGCCCCAGCCTGCCTCAGCCTCAGCCTCAGCCTCAGCCTCAGCCTGCGTCGGCTTGCCTCAGCCTCAGCCTCAGCCTGCCTCGGCCTCAGCCTGCCTCGGCCTCAGCCTGCCTCAGCCTCAGCCTGCCTCACCTCAGCCTCAGCCTGTCTCAGCCTCAGCCTGCCTCAGAATCAGCCTCAACCTCAGCTTCAGGCTGCCTCGGCTTGCCTCGGCTTCAGCCTCAGCCTGCCTCGGCCTCAGCCTCAGCCTCAGCCGCAGCTTGCCTCAGCCTCAGCGTCAGCCTCAGCCTGCCCCAGCTTCAGCCTCAGCCTCAGCCTGCCTCGGCTTGCCTCAGACTCAGCCTCAGCCTGCCTCGGCCTCAGCCTCAGCCTCAACCTGCCTCAACCCTCAGCGCCAGCCTCTCAGCCTCAGCTTGCATCAGCCTCAGCCTCAGCCTGCCTCAGCCTCAATCTCAGCCTGCCTCAGCCTCAGCCTGCCTCAGCCTCAGCCTCAGCCTGCCTCGGCGTGCCACAGCCTCAACCTCAGCCTGCCTCGGCTTCAGCCTACCTCGGCCTCAGCGTGCCTCAGCTCGGGCATTCAAAATATGGCACAACATTGGTGTTCTAGGTACACGAAGATCACGAAGTGGCCCACGGTTGGCTCCGGGCACTGAAAATATTGAACAATAATGGTGTTCTGGGAACACGAAGAACACGAAGTGGCCTACGGTTGGCTCCGGGCATTCAAACTGTAGCCTGGGAGTGGTGTTCTGGGAACACGAAGATCACGAAGTGGCCTACTGTTGGCTCCGGGCATTCAAAATGTGGCCTGGGAATGGTGTTCTGGGAACACGAAGTGGCCTACAGTTGGCTCCAGGCATTCAAAATGTGGCCTGGATATGGTGTCTTGCGAACAAAATCTGTAGGAATCCATCGGAAACTATACGAATCGATCGGAGTCCTGGGGAGTCCCCGGATTCCCGCGGCACCCGTCCGGCATCTGCCCGGACCCCCTTTGGGAGTCATGATGCTCTTTTTTGAAACCACTAGAAACCTTTCAGTCTTCGCTGTTAGGGAATGAAACGATGTGCACACGCGCGCGGCATGGCGCATTCGTTCAAAAACCGTGGGCTCGCAGGAATTGCAAAATCGAGAGTCCAAAAACATGTGAACAAACGAGTGGTTTCGCAACGCTGGTCTCCAACAGAAAACTGGCGCACGCGCTGCTGCTATTTTTGAAGAGAAACTATAAAATACACATTTCAACATGTTCATAGCATGCAACCAAGCGAGCGTCGCGCACGCGTGTCGAAATCGTTCGAAAGCCCTTCCGCGCGCGCGGTCGAGAAGACCCTCTTTGCAAAAATGGGACGAAATGCGCGCTCGTCGTCGCGCGCGCATGACGAAATCCTTCAAGAACCTTCGCCACCCACGCGGGGACGCCGTCATCGTCGTCGGCGTGATCAGCATCGGCACCGTCGCTGGCCGTGCCGTCGTCCCTGTCAACACCGTCACCAACATCGTTACTATCATCATCGTGCCTAACGTTGCCGACGCTGCCACGATACCACGCCCACCCGAGCCGCCGACTCTCACCGAAGTGCCCGCTGGGATGTGCCCAGCGGTCAGCGCACTGCGGCCGCGTCGGTCGCGCCAAACTAGCTGCCCGCTGCGAGTGCGTGCGTGCGCGGGCTGGCGCGGCCGCAGAGATGCATAGCCAACGCCGAGCACAAGCCGTGGGCGTCCAAAGGATTTCTAAATCGAATGTCCCGGAAACGTGTTGCTGTAGCAGCACGAAAGAGAGGCGATTCGCACGGGCGCTCGAATAGCCGGGGGCGCGTGACGTTTTCATTGTCCGGGTGCAAGGGAGGGCGCGGGGAGGAGGAGCGGCCGCAGAGGACAAGGGGGGAGGAAAAGGACACTCACAGCTGATAGTATTCCAGGATGAGCGCGCCGGGACGGCCAGCCGAGGCTGAAAAGTCCTGGCAGTGGACGCGGAACGGCATCACGGCCACCCGGGAACCGAAGCCAATGTTGCAGGCGCTGAAGCGTGAAGAGCCAAGTGAACCAATACTGCTCCGAAACAGATAAAACCCAGCCGTTGTGCAACATGGATATTCAAACATTATGCGCCTGCGTTCTTGCGAAGTGTTCTACATGTTCACCATGTTCGACCGAACGTGCCTTTCGCGCAGCCGTGTTGAAATCATGCGAACGCCCTGGCGCGCGCGCTGCGGGTGGGGGAGGGTGGGGGGCACGATCCGTACAAATAAAAACGCTCGGGTCATTTGCGCCCGTCGGCCGCGCGAGCTTGCCGAAATCATTGCGCAATCTTCAGCGCCGACACGGGGACACCATCATCATCGGTTTTATAGGAATCGTCGCCTTCATTGGCTTAGCCGCCGTCATCGTCATGGTCACATGCATCGCTACAACTATCATCGTGTCTGCCGTTGTTGACGTCGCCATGATACCGAGCCCGCCCGAATCATGTCAACGATCGCTCTGAAATGCCCGCGCGTCACGGCGGTTTGCAAGACGCGCCCGGAATCCCCCAACGGTCAGCGCCATCGCGGCCGCGTCGGACGCGCCAAATTAGCTGGCCGCTCTGCGCGCGAGCCTGTGCGCGCTAGCGCGGCCGCAACGATGCGCCAGCCAGCGCCAAACGGTCATCGCAATCGCTGCCGTTGGGTTTCTACAAACCAAGATGCGGGTTGGTTGATGGGATGATAGCTCGAGCAGTGGAGCTGACAACCTAAATTGTCGCAACCAACTCTTGCACCACATACAATGCACAGCCTGAGTTGCACAACGTTGAGTGCACCACACACGTTGCACAATCTAGATTGGACACCACAACTACTGCACCACTACTATTTCGATTACCACTACTACCCGTACTACTACTACTACTACTACTACTACTACTACTACTGCTGCTGCTGCTGCTGCTGCTGCTGCTACTACGACTACTGCTACTACTACTACTACTACTACTACTACTACTACTACTACCACTACTACTACTACTACCACTGCGACGAGGACGATTACTATGATTACTACTACTACTATTATTATTATTACTACTACTACTACTACTCTTATTACGACTACGACCACCACTACTACCACCACTACTACTACTACGACTACTACGACTACTACGACTACTACTACTACTACTACTACTACTACTACTACTATTACTACTACTACTACTACTACTACTACTATTACTACTACTACTACTACTACTACTACTACTACTATTACTACTACTACTACTACTACTACTACTACTACTACCA